CTGCAGCGCCTGCACTTCCTCCTTCACGACCCCCAGACCATCGTGCTCACCCACCCTGAGGAGTCCCACGTGGGGCAGGAGCATCACCCCGACACCCACTACAGCTTCAGCTTCGACCGCCTCTTCCCCCCGGGACCTCCCAGGGTCAGGTGTTTCAGGAGGTTGCCCTGCTGTTCCAGTCTGCACTGGACGGGTACCACGTCTGCATCTTCGCCTATGGCCAAACTCATCAGGAAATTCAGCAGAATTATTGCTCATTGCTATCTGAGGGATTCCTCCCATCAGAGATGGAATTTTGGACACTTCCAATTGATGAAAATGTGTAATCTGGGCTTAAAATCGTGCCCCACGTTGGGCGACAATAAATTGTTGTCACTGTTTGACTCAAGTCAGACAACAGTGCTCTCGATCCCCTCCCCCTCCCACCCAGGTATGGAAGGAGAGAGAGAAAAAGAGAGAGACTTGGCTGGATTGAAAACTAAACTACACAGCTTTAATTAAAACACTAATGAAAGATATAAGAGAATATATACAATTATATACAAATATGTTCAGATACGGGCAAAAGCCTCTCGCCTCCCCCCACCCCTCTGCAACTCCCACAGCACTTCCCTCAGATTGGACAGTCCCAAGGAATCCCGGAGCTGCTGCTGGAGAAAGTGGAGAGTGATGGGGGTCACAAGAGCTCGAGCCTAAGGGTCGACTGTGATGGACGGACGGAGGCCTCCCCGGATGCCGGCCATTGATGGAAGAGAAGGGAAGAAGAAGAAGGAAGGAAGTTGTCTTCTCTGACCTTCCTCTGAGCTTACGTAGATATATGGAATGGAATATCTCTGGTCAATTTTGCTGTCTGTCTAACTCAGCCTCCTACGGGGGGGGTCACAGATCTGAGCTGGCAGAGTGCAGGTGCGGCCTTGAAGCCTCAGTAGTTAGAAAAACATTCCACTGTCTTATCAGCTCTAGTGAGAGCACACTGTTGCTAGTTAAAATAAAGCTTACTGAAGGAAAAAAAACATCAGTAAAAAGGAAAGCTGGCTTCACCCTGGCTCAAACCAGGACACACAGATTCCTGTGTGGAGTCTGAAAAAGACTTCTTGAATTAATCTACAAACAGCTGCCACTGTAATGCACTCCTAAAGAAAGTGCAAATGCCAGATTTTAGTCCTTATTTAAGCAAAACCTCTCACTGATGTCAACAGAATTTTTGCCCGAGTGAGAACTGCAGGACTGGGTGTTTTCACCCTGGCTCAAACCAGGACACACAGATTCCTGTGTGGAGTCTGAAAAAGACTTCTTGAATTAATCTACAAACAGCTGCCACTGTAATGCACTCCTAAAGAAAGTGCAAATGCCAGATTTTAGTCCTTATTTAAGCAAAACCTCTCACTGATGTCAACAGAATTTTTGCCCGAGTGAGAACTGCAGGACTGGGTGTTAACACACAAAGAATCCCTACTGACAATTCCAATCTTTTTAACTTTAACATTCAGGTATCATCCCACCTGTTTCCTTTTTGAAATTTCCTCATGTCTATCCCCTGGCTTTTCATGAAAGGTTACCTTGAGGGCATTATAAAACATCCTAATAAAACCACCTTAACATTTGAAATTATTTTTATTCCATTAAAATATTTGACATATGTATTTCATATACACATAGCACAGTTTTCAAATGAGTTTATCTTCTATTTCTCATTCTAAATCTTACAGAATCGGTATATTAAAGAACTTAGGTTTAATGGACAACTTTTGGTTCTTCCAGTTACTGGGTTTACCTTATTACTTCTTAAAACTGAGATATACAAGGTCCCTAAAGAAATGTTCTCCCATAATAGTAAAGTACCACAGTGACTTCTCAAGCACTTGGTCTCTGGGGAAGAGTCTATACCCCAGAAGTTTGTGCCTAGGCTCATCCTATAATGCTTCTTGCCTCAGAAGTGCAGTGCAGCAAAGATTAGCACCTGAAAGGGAGATGTCTACACCAGTCTAAAAAGAAAGATACAGTGCAGAAGCTTGCAAAAAAAAATTAGTATTTATCCAGAACTTAAAACTTTCAAAGCTGTTTGCAGTAGGTACATCGAAGCCTTTGAGAATTAAACATTTCAGGAAAGGAACTTTCATTTCATAGTTGAAAAACATGACTAGTGCTCAGTTTTCTTTTTAAAATGCAGCATGAATGAGGCAAAAAAAAATCGTTCCATGTAGAGTCTGAAGGATAGATCCATGAAGGCTGTCTATTGTCATTACTCCAAAAATTTCTGAGAGCTATGACAATTACCATAAATAATAACTACCTCCAGGATCTCTCTGAGATGAGCCAAATACTCTTAAGATTTTACTGCTTTTTCAGCATTGGCCTATCTGTATCAGTAAGTACAAGAAGGAACAAGGGACGCATTCCAGTAAAGGACCAAATCAGGATGCAGGTAAGAGTGTGGGTACAGAAATATGAAACTGTGATTAAAGTAATTATCTGTTTCAAATCTCTTGAATCTTTGAAACCAATCCTGTAATTTCAGCAGGCACCTGCCATTCTCCTTCTCTCTCAGTGCAACTGGGCTCCACGTAGATCAAAACCTACATTCCCAAAAGGACCCAGTCCAGCAGTCCTCTTCAGAGCAAAGCCAACACTCAAAGCACACTAACAGCTTTTCTCTGCAGATAAGGAAAAAAAAGAAGTGGTACCAGCCAATTCTGTAAGGGTCAAAAATTAGAGCATTCACCAAGGACTCTCACTACAAATTCATTATCAGCAGGCTCAGAAAGGGTCCACCTCAATTTATCTCTCATAGATAAGCAAAGCCTGGAAAACCAAATAGAGCAGTCACCCATACCTCTCTTGAAGGTGCAAACTTGACTGCACAAGTGATGATCAGGGAAGATAAAGTACTGGATGGAAAAGCAGTTTAAGGTCTATTGGCTAGGGCACACTCTTCAAAGGAAAACCCGTGACTCTCCTCTTCCTCATCACAGGCTGTCAGCTTATGGCAAATGCACAAACAGTTTGCAGAGCAGAAACTAGAAGCATGAACACAGGTCCCAGCACAGTAACCAAACCACTAGTCCCGGGTCTGGTTGCTCTCTTGCCTTCCAGTGGCTCATGTTACATTGGTCAGAAACTGCCACTTCATCATCACTGGGTATTTTCCTCCCTCATCAGATGAACACATCAGATGGAGTAGCAGTACAGTGAGGACTCAAAAAACCACCTACTGCTCATTAAAAATTTTGACTAATTACTCCAGGGCCACTCAGCTGCAAGAAGTCTCAGTGGAAACTCCAATAAGATTGATGTGCTTGCTTTCCTTCCTGCAAAGCTGGGACAAGCGATAGATGGCTCAACCAAACTCATGAAATAAGATCATAACTGTTATTGTAAGAAGCCTTGTTAGATGACTTATATACAGGGATTTGTTCACTATTCCTAAAGAAATGAAAACAGCAGCAGAGACTCTGGGGTTAGCTGGGTTTATCTGACTGGGGAAAGTGCTAGCTTTTCTTTAAACTTCTGATTTCTCTTTGATTGCACCAGCGTTTTGTACCTCCTGAAACAGAACATGCCTTTGATTCTTTTTAAGTCAATGCAAAAATAAACACCATAATCCATTGAAAGGTCATTATACTCACAGTGAAGAAAACAGGACCTGTGTCTATAGGTACTAACCCTGGTTTTCCCAGGAACATATTTTACTGTACTTTAAATTGGGTGGCCAATTGACTATCAAAATGCACACTGCCCAAGATCTTGGCCCATAAAGTCACGGGTGAGGAACTAATATGGAAACTAGTAAGATGTATGTGTAACTTTCTCCTCTCTGATCCTTCCATGGGATTAATTAAAAATTATCTAAGTTAACAGAACACCAAAGAATATGGTCCTGTCTTCCTCACCCTCGTCATGTGCTCCTGCTACTCCTCAAGCCAGCATGAGCCATTCCAAGCCACTCAGATAAACTGTCTAATCCTCAAAGTTATGTTTTCAGCCATTGAAGTCTTCTGCTGTGGCTGTATAAGGGCTGGTGCTGCTGAAGGGAACGGGGTGGGAATGTACAGGCAGGGAGCAATGACTGCCTTGGTAAGTAGCACACACTTCAGTGGGAAAACCTGATCATGACACTGTGCCCTAAGGAAAGGCAAGCACATATGTCAACCAGCACATGTGCAGGGGACAAGCCTGGTCAGTGAGCGACAGCTGTTTGCTCACAAGTAACGAGCTATCGCCCTCCTGGTGGGACCCTGACAGGAGCCAGCAGTGAGAAAAGTCTCAGCCTGAATTTTCATTTGTGAAACAGGCACCAAGACAGACAATAACCATGGCATGAAAACATAATTACAGTGATGTGAGTAATGTCAGGGCATGGTTGCAAACTCTGAACTGCTATGGAGTGTTTGACTGACCATCATCCCTAAGGGCAAGTTTCTGAGCAGCTCCAGCCTCTGGAACACTTCAACTCCCAAGAACAGACCAGTCTTTTGAGGCAGATTTGACACTTCCATAGGGATGATGTAACAAACATGTCGCTGTTCATTTCATATATATATATATATACACATATATATATATGCAAATACATGAAGGCTTCTACCTAAGATTACCTCAAAGAGAGCAATAGCTATATTAGTTTTTTTCATTTGGTTGGCATATAAGACATTGGATTATTGATAAACAAATAAACAAATGCTTTCTAATAGTCAATATAGTGCTTCATGAGAGGTATGCGGTGTCAGTGTAACAGTGCTGCACAACACTGAAGAGCCTGTCAATCACTGTCAGTAAGAAAGGACAGCATGATACCACCCTTAAAAGTTTCCTATAAAGTCTACCAGGAACAGTCTTGAAATGGTCTCTTAGCAACAGTCAGTAAAATGTCTTGTGATTTTTATTTTTTTTAATTAACATGAAGAGATTATGCATTTAATTTTTAACTTCCAAAAAGTAAAAATCGCTTTGAATTAAAATAACTGATAAAAAAACTCAGAAAAAAGGGTATTTTAACCTGAATTCATAATAATAATTGGTAAAATGAACCTGTCTCCATATTGAGAAGGCATACAGTAACAAATTTCCCCTATTCTAAATCTCTAAGCACACAATATCACATTAAAAAAAGAATATTTAACACAAAAAAATACCATTGTGCTTCTGCAGAGAAGCTGCCTCCTAAATATTAGATAGATCAAGAGGAACTTCAAATAAAAGTGCTCAATTTCATGACCACTGTAGAGCTGTTTACAATTTCATCCAAAAGAGGACAATGACTGGTCCAAAAGCAGAATGCAAGGCTATCCTGATCATTCATTTAATCCATAATGGAAATTTCCCTGGTTAGAAATTCTGACCAGCTGAGAAGGATGGGCTATCATACAAAGAAACAGAATACAGAACAAAGATTTTGTCACCACAGATGCACCAACTTTTAAAAGCTAAATCCTTAAAAGCTTGCTTCACTAGAGAGCAAAAGTAAACCTAAAAAAAAGAGGATTACCTGGGCGGAACTGCTTCACCACAACAAAACACTGCCGAGAAGTATTGAAGATCAGGATTGACACACTGAGGAAGACAGAAAACAAAAGATCAATGCTTTATGAAGGATTAATGCAAAACTATTAAACTTGCATCTTGTCAATTCAGCTACACAAATACACAGGAAAATTATTACTAAAGCCACAATGCACCAAGAACCTTGTCCAAAAAAAGTCTAACTTAGGAAGTCTGCTACTAAATAGTAATAACAGGAAAAAAAAATCCCTAAAAATAATAATAAAAAATTCCTCCGTTATATCAGTGCCAGAATAGGACAGTCTAACTTTTAGGCACAGTCTAGTCTCATTCAGTGCCAAGGACTTTTGTATAAGCACAGAGCATCTCCTATCTGTGGCTACTGTCCCAGCTTGGGCCTTAAAACAGACTCCATCCAAGCCCAATTCTGTACAAATTTAAATCAGAAGCAATTTTAACTGTTAACATAGTCAGTGGTTTAAAAGTCACATTTTAATCTTGCCCCATCCTCTTTCATTGTTTAAAATACAAGTGAGAGGGAAACCTGGCAGGCTGAGTATTTGGAGACGCTCTAGAAGTGGGGAGTACTGATGTTCCCTGCACTCTTTTCCACTTAAATAATTCTCAGATTTTACTAGTTTAAAAAAAATGCAGACAAAAGTCTCTCTCCTGCCTTGGTAGCCCATTAAAGCATGCAAAAACAAGTGTATATTTTGCTCATTACCATGGTAGCATTCTCTCATTTGTTAGGCCTCACTGTATGTAATTGCAAAGTTAATTCATTATTCTATGAATTCTACAATAGATTAGACTAACAATGGCATATTTGCAGAGTTAAGTCAAACTTCCAGCTTGCCTTGTAAAAGAGCTGTATATTTATTTTCACCATTTGATTTAATAATGAAGTCTCAGGCTGCCAGAGAAACTGCTATTTGATGATTATCAAAAATAATGTTAATGTTTATTATAATAATACATTTAAACCAAAACAGTAGGGAGAAGTCCAGATGTTAACATTTATATTCATGGTTGCTGTTCTCAAAGACCTGTACTGCATATTGATGGCTTCCTGCCCCAGGAGATGTCATTTGCAGGCAATTTTAAAGCAAAAGGGTTTAGCCTTTGGAGAGGCTGGAGAACATTCACTCTGTTTACTGGCACAGAGGTTCCTTCAAACCTAATGCCAAAATAACTGGGAGTTATGGTGTAGGTTGCTAGACGAGAGAAAGTTAAACCACAGCCTATAATGTTTTTAGGTTTACCTGGGTGTTATTCTTTAATTATTTTTTTTTCCTTTATATGATTGTTCCTTTCCCCCAAACAGTACTGTCTGAGGGGAAGTGCTACACTAAATAAAAGGGGGAAAGGCTCTACTGCTGCTACTGAACCTTTGCTTTTTGTCCATGGGTCTAACAACATGCAATGCCTGAAACTGAAGACTGCAGCATCTAAAGCTGCGGTTACAGAGCAGAGATTTCCTGAAGCAGACAGTTGCCTTTCACCTTGATTTACATCCTCCACCCCAGGCTTAATCTCTTCCTTGGCTTGCCTCCTTCAGCACGTCTCATTGAATAACTCCTACCAACTCATTAAAAATGGCTCAGCTAATAGACATTATTTTTTCCTAGGAGTCAATCACTTGAGATTTTTTATGGAACAGATGGGAAAATTAAAAACAATCTGTCAGAATTAAGGAACAAGATCAAATTAAGCTGGAAAGGAGTAGCAGCAAGTTATTACAATTGTCTGCTTCTCACACCATCTTGAGATGAGAGGGTACAGAAATGGCACAAATCTGTAGAACTTTCTATTTAATTACTTCTAATTTTCAGAGAGACTGACAAACAATTTCGAACATAAATTTACATTTTTTTTTAACAAACCACAACACGCAAGTTCTAATATTTCTTGTCAGAGCTGGAGAGTCATGGAGGAGGAATTTCAGAATTCTTAGGAGGAGTATGACCTTCTTAGGAGGAGTGTCACATAAGGAATGACATTTGTTACTTCTTATTCCACAAGAAACAATATAACATGAAATATTTCCACAGGTTAGTGGGTTTATAACTTCTGAAAACCCATCTGAACCTTCACCCAGAGCAGTTACTCGACTATTATAGAAAGTTAGGGAAACTCTAATCAAATTATCAATGGATTCTGTGATTCTGTGAAATATTTTAAGGAAGTTATCTACCTAAAATGTCAGCAAGACATACCTACAAAGACCAGCTAAGCTGTACTTGATCTCTTTTGTCACAGAACCACAGAATGTTAGGGCTTAGAAGGGACCTCTGGAGATCCTTGAGTCCAATCCCCTGCCAGAGCAGGACCAAATCTAGGGCAGGTCACACAGAAACGCATCCAGACAGGTCTGTAAAGTCTCCAGAGATGGAGACTCCACAATCCCTCTGGGCAGCCTGTTTCAGTGCTCTGTAACCCTCACAGTAAATAAGTTTTTCCTCATGTTGAGGTGGAACTTTCTATGTTCTAGTTTGCATCAATTGCTCCTTGTACTATCACAGGGCATGACTGAAAAGAGATTGGCCCCTCCTTTTGTACCCAAGTTTGCAGTTAAAGTGTGCTCAGGCCTGGCATCTAACACCATGTTTTCCACACCACTGTTCAGTTAAGGATCTCATGTAGCATTTAACCATTTAAACTTCAAAGAAAACCCTGAACAAAATAGGTAAGTATTAGGATTCTCTAACAGGTATTTGGCTTCCCTAAAATGTCTAAGTCAATATGCAGAAATTACATCCAGCTGACACATGGATATCTGCAACACAGGAGTTCAGAATCTTAATTCTTTCTCCACTTTTAAGACTCTCATTGAAAGATAAGATATCCAACTGGATACAACCTTAACAGCTGAAAACACCTCCTACAAGACTTTAGAGAGTGACACTCTTGTGTCACCATTGGCCTAGAAAACTATTTGCAAAATGTTTCCTTCCTTCCCCCGACATAGTACAGCTCTGTATTTATTGAACTCATGGTAACTGATGGTTTCACATTCCAGGTGAGAGGACATTTATATAGAAATACCACTACAACTTCACGTACTCAAATCTCAGAAAGGAAGGGGGTGTTTCTAGGAGCAATGTAAAAAACACAGTATTTGACCACAGCAGTTATGAGGTAGGGAGACAGATGAAAACTGACATCCTGTTAAAATGTGCACACACACATGGACAGATAGAAAGTGAATTCTTTTGAAATACATCCTAGCAATTAAGATCAGCAAATGAGCTTTGCCAAAGCTATAAGAACATGTACTTCTAGAGATCCAACAAAGGAGGGCAGGTTTTGGGGAGTGGGGGTTGGGGTGCTTTGGAGTTCTTTTGTGGTTGTTTTTGTAGGTTTGGGGCTTTTTTGTCTGAGGGGTTTTTTTGTTTGTGTTTTGGTTTATGTTGTTTTTTGGGGGTTGTTTGTTTTTTAATAGAAATGTAATTTCACCTTGTACTCATCAGTTTGGTAATCTTCTGCCTTGATGATTTGTCAGTTTCTGACCTGGGCTACAGTTAATCCACAAGCAACTGCTAACACTTACTGATTGATTTTTATGAGACAAACTTTTAAAATCCTTTAATAAATAATAATTGATCCAGCCTTACTTTATTTGTACGTGATCCTCATCTATACTTTACAAATGTGAATTTGAAAAACTAAAAAATGTTTTAAAAAATAAAAGTAATTGTGTAGTAATAGCAAAGGAAAGGACAAGATTCTCTTGTATTTCTATGAATGAAATAAGACTCTGAAGGCTGGAGATGAGGATTTTTAAAGATAATCTTCTACTAATACTATAGTATGCTAAGTAATATGGGCAAATGAACTGACCTTTCTATAATCATTGTAAGAGCAAGTCAAGATCTCTGCGTGTGGATGTCTAGCACGGTTATGTGTGTGTTACACAAATTCAAATCAGAATTGAATAATGGAAGGTAAAGTACCTAAAAAAAGACTGATATTAACATTGAAAGCCAGGGCTTTCCAGCTATTAACCTTAGCCACTTCCATCTACTTTTAAAGCCTAAAAATTGTTTCAAGTTTAGTTTAACGTCTGTAATGCAGTTTGTGCTGCTTACAAACGATAATCTTGGCTCCACAGTGAAGACTTTAGGAAGTAATGATCTTTGATTTGAAAAAAAAACCTAACAAACAAACCAGACCAAAACACCAAAGCCCTCCTAACAGAATCAGGGCTTGTGGTAATCCAGTTACTGTTCCCAAAGAAGACATTGAGAATAGAACAGCAGATTCCAAAAAAATAAACACAGAAATGGCGTGCAGGGGAAAAAAAAAAGGCAAATAATTGATTTAATCAGTCCCCCTGACTCTCAACAGTTTTTGGTATTAAAAATCCCTTTGATACAATCAGAAGAAAATAATCAAATGCAGTGTACAACCACAGAATATTTAGAGATGTATTCATGTCAGCTGGAGAGCATGTAAATATAAACCATGCACACAATACTTTTGCCCATGTAACTCATAAGGGAGCAAATGGCAAGACTTCTGAATTGTACTGGAAGGGAAGTTAGTAAGAAAAAAATCATTCCGATGTCAAACAATTATTTTAGCTTTAAAGAAAAAGTTTTTTTCTCACTGAAGTTATATTAATTTTGCTTTCTTTGCTCATTCAGTGTCTACAAATTAAACTTTCATATTGTTTTTTGTGTCAAGACTATAGTTCTGTGAAGTCCTCTTAAAATACTACCTTTGAGAAACACCCCAAATCAGGGTTAAAATATGATACTGAACGTGTTCTTTTCTTCCTCAAATCAGAAATGACTGTGTTTTCAATTTTAAAGTGATAATCAAAAAACCCAAGTTTGTTTAAAAGTTAACAATCAAAAGTAATTTGTTGTGAGAATTCATCCTTAAGGAGGGCCTACTTCATCTTAAGTTATTTCAGAACCGGTTTTGGTGACCATGAGAAAGAATGGCATGTAACCCCCGTGTCACTTCTGTATTGAAATTAACTATGCATTTCACAGCTGGACATGTCCCTGAAAACTTCTAATGTGGTATCTAAAGTACTGTCTTCTTCCTTCTATCAGAGCAGCACTTAGTATTTTAAGCCACAGAAAACAGTCCCTTCATTTTCAGAAGAGACGTAATAAAGCTGTACCCTTTGATTATTCTCCAGTGCAATTTCTTTAGTTTCCCAGAGCTTTGACTATAATGCAGATAGTCTTGAGATTAAACGTGTGTGCTTGCACAATCTTTACTGGTTCATTTAAGTCTTCCTTCAAAGCATTTTACATTTTTCAAAGGCCAACACCAACCCAATTGGCTACTTAAAATGCAGTCTATTACAAAAGCAAAGCTATAAGCTCCTGACAAAAACATTCAGCCCTTTATACTAATCACAGATAAAGTGGATTTGGCAAAAGATAATTAGAGACATCTAGAAGACTTGTGAATTCTGATGAAATTTGAATGTTTTCTCCAATACAACTTAAATATTTAATACTAAGTAAAACCAGAATAAAGTGGTGAGACATGTACGGTTAAGTAAATAAATATTACTTTACTTTGGAAAAAAATCAAAAGGAAGATTAGTTTCAGTAAACTGAACTCCAGCAGGAAGTTGTTTGTGATACCATAAAGCAGGAAGCCTATGTTTGGTTAATCATCAGACCGGTGGAAGAATGAATTAAGAAGTGCTAACAAATCCATATAAAGGCACTTTTAAAACATAATCTCTCTCTTCTTGTAAAGTAGTAATTTGCACCCAACCAAAGAATAGGATGCAAGGCAACTTCTGTGGAATAAACAATCCTCCCAGCACCCTGTTTTCATATAACAAAGAAAAAAATAGAAAGTAAATTCAACTGCAAAATAAATGAGACATCAAAGCACGTTGCTCTCAATAACATTCCTCAAGTGTCATATTTTGGCCCGTATCCCAGGATACCCTTGGAAATTACACACTGCATCTGAATGGGATTCTTTCAACAAAATATTTTAATAAATAAATTCAGGTTTAATTCTAGTTTATTTGATTAAATACAGCTTTCTGGGCATTATGTGCAACAGATGTCAGAGCCTAATGGGCTTTTGTTCCAATTCCTAACTATTTGTGAAGCTGATGTTTATAAATGCTATCACATAATAAGACCAATAAAGAATCCATCTAAAAAGTCTGATTCACTTCTGAAATGGCAAAAATCAATGTTTTAAAAATAGTATCAGATTTCAAAGGCAGCTCCAAAAATAAAAAACCTGAGTGTTCTGCTTTGGCTAATAAGTAATGAACCAGAAAAACCAAGTATGAAGTGAACACCACAAATCTTTTCTCAGAGATAAATGTACAGTTTCACCACCACTAGTGAGAAACATAGACTGAGAAACTGGCAGGTTTTGACATTTTACCTATTTTCCCCCATTTCTAGAACAATCACTTGAATGGTTCCTTTTTTTTTTCCAAGAGATAATTTCAGATAAATTTCTAAAAATACAGGCACTTAGATTATAGAACATTTCCCAGTTTTCATAAGATTATTTTTACTACTCCTGAAGGTAGGCCATGACCATGCTACTGTCTCTAGACCATGTAAAATTTTGGCACTCTTCACACAAAACAGCTTTAATTCAAAACCACCTGGAAGCAAAGGGAAGACTCTTCTTGATTTCAGCAACTACAAGAGAATAACCTTCTCCACTTGAATATTATTGCAAATAATAAAAAATGAAATCCCTACAGTTGTAAAAACTAGATGCATCTAATCTGGATACCAGAAATCTGTATTTAGAAATGTATGACTCTTCAGCCAAAACTCTTGTGTAGCTGCTTAGTTTTAAGAATTTATATGGATTCTTTTCTTAAAATTAGGCAAATATTTAACTTCCCAATAAAGCCATACTCTCAGTTAAGATTTTATTGTCATTTTACCTTATTTCAGTGATACAGCAGAGAAGAATTTATGTGCTATCATATAATATACTTTGAAAAGTGAACAGAGAATCTGAAAACCTGGGGTTTGAAATTATTTTTCTCTGATAACTTTACAGCACTGAATATATTTTTATTTTTGTCTTGTTGCTATGATTTTATTCAGATCTAATCCTAAGGTAACAACATTATAAGACATCTTAAAACACAGTCAATATGCCTGTAGAATTCCTGGCACATAAGCAGAGGATCTGTCAAGTCTTCACCCTAAAAAAACCCAAAAATGAAAAGCAAAAAACCAAAAGCATTAAGTGCAATTTATTTGCAAATATCGTATGCAAACAAATAGTGTAAATACTTGGGTTGAAGGAAACTAATAGGCTACTATGTTTTTTCTTTCCAATAGGAGGAAAAATATCATTATTCTGAAAGCACTCTTGATAAACAGATAACAAGACTAGACCTCAATGTCTTCAATGACAGTGATTACAAAACATGTATTCCTAGATTGTCACATTGCCTGTTGGTAAAAATGGTTTCTCAGTGTATGATGTAAAAAACATTTTCCATGTGAGACACCATTTCTTGTTCTGTCATTGATTACTGATGAAATGTAATTATTCCAGCCTGCTTCATAACATTCATTTACATTTTTGTGATAAGTAGTAGTTTTTATCTTCAGTTGTGTTATCCTTTGCATGAACATGCCCAGCCATTATTACCTTCTCTCAGTTATTATTTCACTAAACTTTTCATCATTTTTGTTGTTTGTTGAATTACATCCAGTTTATTTTAAACAGTGCATTATCTTCTGCATTATCTTTGAAGATAATCAAGAAAATTCCACACCATTGACACCCTGGAGGAGACATTACAAAGACCTTACAAGGTTTACAGTACAACAGCACATCATTGCACATAAAAGGCACATGCCACCCAAGGAAGATTTTTATGGTTTTACCTATAAAGATGTTAAAAAGCTGTATTTTACCCAAAAAGCTGCTGTGATAATTCTTGCACAAAGGAAGCATCTGAGTTAAGTTTCATGGTTTCTTATAATACCCTAGGACATAAACCAGAAGAATACATCCAGGCTTAAGTTTCCATAAAGCCCAAATGATCTGGCACACGAAACAGGAGAAGGAATTTAATCCACTCCTATAATGTGGTCAGGGCACATGACTTCCACCCTGTCTCCATAGCTGCCTGCTACAGCCACTGAGCCAGAATAGCAACCCCAGCTCCTGCAGGCCACTCGCGACCCGTCACCTGGCGGGCTCTGGTGGCCTGGGCAGCAGCAGGGGCAGCTCCCGGGGCAGCTGTTCCCCATGCTCCCCGACTTCAACGGCCTCAGATGCCAGTATTCGACCAGGTAACTTCAGAGTGACCCGCTGTGTATATTCAACTTCCCTTTCTGAGTTATGTCCATTTTTAACTTGTCTTGAGAACCTCCTTTCTCTTTCCGCCCAGTCCTGGTACCTGGTGGAGACAACACACTGAGGTGCGGATTGCCTTGCTTCCCTTCAGCCTGCAAACTCCCTCCTGCTGGAAAACCACACTTCTTACTTGTCCTTATAATACATTAAATATAAAGCCTCTTTTCTAAGCAAATAGTTAAATTAAATTAGGAATTAATTTGCTATGAATGTGAAATAAATTAATCTCTTTACTTAAAAGAAGCCAGTCGTACAAGGCACGAATATTATTTCCTTCTCCCTTTAGGGAGATAAGAAAATACTTAAGAAGTTTTTTCCATTAAGAATGTGTAAGTCAGGAAGCATTAATGAGTCCCTGTGACATGTTTCTGTAGTTAAAAACAGAGCATAACAAGGGTACAATGCACATGCAGAGTTGTAAGGTTTCTGGTCCTAATGCCTTTTCCTTGTCACATGATATTTTCAGGGTTAAAAAGAACTCACAAAACAATCTTGCATGCAATTTGGTCTCCTCAATATTTTTTTCTTTCAAATGTAGTGCAGTTTGCAGTGATTTTTTTAATATACTTTTAAATAGAGAAGTAGTCATAATTTTGCTTTATATTGGAAAGCTGCCCTTCTATTTGTCAACTAGCAGAAGTTACAGTTATGCTCCTGTTCTTGAACGTTATTACTGAAAGCACAGAAGTGAGCACATGACTGTACACTGACCTTCACCTGTTCCCAAATTATGTTTTTTAAAAGCCTTGAATCTGTTTAAGGGGAGCTGCTGAAACCTGAAACGAACTTGGTCTATTGCTGTATAAAGCAGATGAATGTAAAACCTCAGGACTACATTTCAGGCTTTTATTGTACTAAATAGAGCAAAATTAGGATGAGAGAGAATGTAACAGGAATGTGAGCCTGATTTTAGAGGTGTGGGGTTTTTTTTTGTTACAGGCATAAATTAATACTTTGCAATATTTGGTACATTTCCATTTCTGACAGAAGAGCAGGCATTTGTAGGAAGAAAATATCCTCCTGGTAAGGTGTTGTTGTTGGTTTTTTTTTTAAAAGCATTGACCTTAAAAAAAAAAAATAACAACTCCTCCCCCCACAAAGCACAACATCACAAATTGCTAATTAGTTGTGATAGACTCATGTCTAAGGAACATCTTCAAATACACCTTGCACTTACATTTTCATCTCTTCTACTCCTCCTGATTTCATAATGAGCAAACACATCAGCTGAGTATTCAGAGGGAAACTAAGCTTAATTAGAAAAGCAAGCAATGCATAAAATAACTGCAGAAAGCATCTTCTGCTCTGTATATCTGCCCAACACAACAGGTCAGAAATATGTAGAACTTAGGAGCACCACCTCAATAAACTTGTTAAATAATTACAGTTGAAAAGATGCAATCAAAGCTTTTTATATTTCTGCATTAATTTTTTAGTAATCTTCTCTGTTATTTCTAATGGTGTAATAAAGCCTTGCAATGAGCTCTGATAATTATCAACTTTATGTTTCAAATAAAGATTAATTTAAATGTAACTCCATAGGACAAGAATGCATTATTTTCCAATAGAAAAATGGCTTATAAATTGACAGATTTCTAGAAAAGTTTACAATTTTTTGACAGTTGTCAGATGGGAACTGTGAAATTAATTAGCTATTTAACCTAATTATAAATTAATAGAAAACTCCTGCTCAAAATAAGACAAACTTCTAAGTCAGGTCCTATTTCTTGTCCAGTTAATTATTAGTTTCTCCAAGGATGGAGGTTCCTCAACCTATCTAAGCAAATTGTTCCAGGACTTAACTACTCTTCATGGGTATGTCTTTGAGTCCTGGATCTTCCTTCTGTTACAATTTAAACATTATTATGGTAGGAGATGCTCCTGCTTTTGTCTATACTACCACACAACTGACCTTCATCAACATAGGTTTTGAAGGTTTGCCTTGGTAACGGCTTATTGTGTGGCCAGTAATCATTTTGCAAAATTATTTTTTATTTTTTTTCTTTCACTGGCATAGAGGGACTGTGAGCAGGGAATTATATGTTCAGTAGAAATGACAAACTTAATAAACCAGAGGTGACTCTAGGACTAATACCCTACTTCTGAACAGTCTTGATCTGAAGGAAGATCAAGAGCCACACACTGTAGACTCTAGCCCAGATCTGCAGTAACTAAGAATAATAAAAAAAAGGAACATCTAACACAAAACCTGCTATTTCAGCTTATGCTAATGTCACCCCAGCTTGCACATGGTTAAATGATCTTGTCCTACTGCAATACATTGGGAGATTTTTAAAGGAGGTGACTCACACATAAGGCAAATTAAATGACTACTGCAGTCCTCATGTTTTTATCTTTGTATAATTTAATCAGCTGTTCATCTGAACAGTTGGAAAGGATAAATTTATATAAAAATAACTTCATCTCTCTTATGAAGTATTTTCCTGTATGAAGTCTATATTCTGAATATCTGTCGAATACTGGCTTATGTTGACTTCACTGGAAATGAGAAAGAACACTGGGGCCCCAAATGAACCCAGCACACAAGCTTGCAGTTCACACTCATGCAGCAAGGAAGTCTTAAACAAATGTTTACTTATGCTGATGAAAGAGGATGCCAGATAAAGACATGAGTTAGCCTCATTGTCTGTGTTTTTAACAGCACAGTATCTTTCTGTGTGTGTATTCAGTATCATTAGATTCCCTATACATACCAAATACATGTAAATATATAATACATGCATACATACACTTCACAGATCTGGCATCCCAACGTGTATGTTCAATGTAGGTAAACAGCCTTTTAAAAAAAACCTTGGGAACATTTAACATTGCTGCAGCATTTTCAGAAGTAAAATAAGTTTTGAGTGCTTTTGGAAATGGGGTCTTAATCATAGAAAATGGATCTTAATTATGTAAAACACCTACAAGTTTCCTGAAAAAGCCATGTGCACTAGGAAATGCCGACCAAAAGGTCATCTGTTTTGGGGCCCCCACCTCTTCTGCAAAATGTTTTCTTTCATTAAGCATAATGAACCTCTGAGAGCCCTCCAAGTATGAAGTCCTTAATAATCTTCAGCAATGAGACAATGTGATTTTTCCATATCATTAGCATCACAGGGGTCCTATACAGGAAAATGTAGGGATTCAATGAATTATAAGGAATTCTGAACCTGATTTATCTAATAATAATTGGCTTCATATTCAAAAATAGAATTAATGTAAAGCTATGGATTTCCTATACAGACAGTTCACATGATTATCCTCGGTGTCAGAAGTTGCATTGAATTTACTTGTGAAAGACTGTTAGATACTCTACAGCTCAAAAGAAGTCACTAATAAGTTAAGATGGCAGCTGTTGTACATCTGAAGATAACAAATGTTATGTGACCAGGGATGACTGGCATGACATATGGCCGTAGCCTTTTTATACAGTTATGTTCTAAACAATTTTAAAAATGTCCACAAAAGTCCCTCAGAAATACTGCTCTCAAGGAGTTCATGGAAAACTGATCCTTTGATATTTACCCTTCTCAGTTAGTTGCATATATTCACACATTATCACAGAGTGATAATCTAAAGATAAAGCAAAAATAATAATACAAATTATTCATCTGGAAGTCATGTTCTCAGTACTGTGACTTGAGGCTGGATTCACTTGCTTGAAAGTACTGGGTGTATATTAAATTTCCAGCAATCAATTATCATTTCAGCCTTTGTATCTGTGTTCATAAATCCAGGCACATGCCCAGATGGATAGACAAAGTGCAAAGACAGAACTGTCTTCCAGGCAAATTCCAAAAGCAAGTGTGAAGTTCAGTATTGAAATATCACTCCCTTTTCTGTCCTCACTCTTAAGCAGTAGAGGCGTTTTTAATCTATATAGTATTTTCCCCAATCTTCCTGGAACTTTTACCTCTGTAATCTTTACATGGATAAAAAGTATTGCTCTCACTTTCTGTCCATCCCAGGTACCTACACACAAAAAGATGCACTGTAAGGACTTAGTGGGTTCCAACAGATAAGGATTTCCAAAAATTCAATTGACTTTATCTACTTATTTCATGCATAAGAAGAATAAATCTCTCAACATGTCATGTTACAAGTCACAATTTCTTTCATCATTAGTGTTTTGCTACATGTTTTATATTTAATAGATTTAGAAAAGCTTCTTCTAGGGAAACTTTGTTAGCTTTGATTTTTATTTCTATCTTCTAGTATTTGAATTTTCAGTGACTAGATAAAATATACTTTTAAAAAAGAGACATGAATATTTTAGTGTTTAGTAACTTTGAGACCGGGTCTGTTTCATATATAGTCTATTCATTATACTTTTACATGAACTGATCTTTGAAGTTCAGAGTTAACTGCTTTTCTTCCCTGATAGGAGAAATACAATTAGAAAGACAAAACAAAGTTGCTGCACATCCATTTCTTCCCATGTTCTTAGGAAAGGGTCTTGATGTACAGAATGGAGAGCCTGAAAGGTTTGAGACATTTCTAAAGTTACTCGAATTAGGGTCTGCCTGAAACATCCTTATATATCAGAGATGGAGAGGATTAAAATAAAAAAAGTTAGCATAAAACATAAAACAGAATCTCTACCTCATTAAAAGTAATTGCCAGTAAAAAAAAAAAAAAATCAAACAGTATGACAATAACTTCAGATTGCCTTTTAACATTGCCTTTATATTACAACAATTCCTGGGATTGTATATTCACAGGTGAGAGAGTTTGGTCACATACCTGGGCCTAGACCATTTAACAGCACAAATAACAACAGGGTTAAGTATTTGGAGGCAGAGTCCTTCCTACAAGTGATATACTCACCATCAAAAAAGAAAAGTTTGTACAATCCAAACTTTCAGTTTCATCTTCAATGTAATCATTAAAAGGTACAATACATCATGTGCCAAAACTTCCATATTTGAAAAGTCACACACAGACTAAACGTACTGAGGATATTATGAATCATGAGGAGACTTTAACTTCTGTCTAGAACACTGAGCATTACACAAGAAGTGAGAGTTGAAGAGGAAGCTGGAGGAAAAAGAAGTGACTCCACATCAACAGGTTTTGACCAGTAGAAGAGAATACAGTATGAAAAACAATATAAAGACAGAAGCAAATAATGTGATTCCATCTGTTACCTGTCATGTGTCCTCATAAAATCCCAGAACTTCTTAGTGCCATTCTGGGGGGAAAAAAATAAAATAAATCCATCAGTAAAATTAATTTCAAGTGAAAACTTACTATAATGAAACATAAAAAAAATTTTAACAGGCATTCATTTGAAAAGTTGCTCTATTTGGTTTTATTTATGAAATCATTCATCTGGATTTTGGCAGTATTATAGATGTTGAGAATTGTCTTATAACAGTTCAAAATCTTATATCCCACAATAGTATGATGACAAGTATGGTGACAGCTAACTGAAGACTGTGGTAGTCTTCAGGCAGCCCATTGCTGACCATAGTATCAACTCCTGATACCTAATCTAATCATTCAGGTGCTAGGAAGCGATAAGGAGTTAAATTTTAACCAGTAAAATAACCCATAGATCTATGTTCTCCCATGTCCAGATATAGTTTTATTTTAGGAGGACAGCTTGGTGCTCACCTCCTCACAAAACTCCTTTTGGATTCAGGAATAAGACATCCTCCCCTCTCACCCCTCCCAAGGCCCAACAGCTCTTACTCTGAATTGCTTGTGGTGGTGAGGATACGGTCAAACAGTAGGCCTGAAGTCACAGTGCCCACCTGAGAATGGGGAGACTTAAATTGGATTCCTTTCTCAAGTAGGGCCAATTTCTGTCCTCTGATACCTTAAAAGAACTACACCCACTACAGCATAGGATTCTTCCAAAGTTATAGTGAATATGTACCCTCTTGCTTACATTTGTTTCATCTTGTATAATCACCTACATCAATTCCTACACACCAGTTAACAGAGACATGTATATAATTCCTTGCCCTGGTTATTAGAAGTGTGATGGCATTTTTCAGCTGAAATACAACTCAAGATATTTCACTCCTAGGTCAGTTTTAAGTCTATAGAAGGAATCAGTATGCAACCAGAGGAAATCTATTGATTGACAGTTTTCTCCTATTAGGAAGGCAAAAACGAGACCTGCTGAAAACCTACATACCTCAAATATGCTTCATGTGAAAAGCAACACAAGCTCTCTATTATAAAGTATGGTTAAATGG